CCCAGGAGACCCAGCAGAACATAGCGTGGAAAATCTGCTTGAGGTCACCAGTGATAGGAGTGGATTAGGTCTCCTTGTGTTTTGAGGAGACCTTTTTCCTCGCTTTTCTTGTGAAATCATCCCCATGTTTTGACATAAGCAGCACACTGGAAGGATGCAGAGTAGGGCAGGCGGATGCAGAGTGGGGCAGGCTTGGGTGAATCTCTGCAAAGGTAAGAATGAATATAAAAGAAGGGGAGGCTACTGGGAAACTGGGACTCAAGGTAAAATTGCTCCAGAAGCTTTGCTGATAATACCTGATCCTTAACACCAAGCCCTCAAAAAGCAAAGCCAGGAATTTGTCAGGTGAGTACAAAATGCTGGGAGCAGGAAGCCCCTTCAGGTAGTTATAGATACAACTTTGCTGTCAAGGCTGCTTTTCCCTAACAGATCTTGGGGGCTTATAAAATCCTTTGGCAGGACTTCATAGGCGGTGCTCAGAGACCTAGGGGCATTTCTCAGTCGAAATGTGAAGGGTTATTCACCAACATTAGAATGAAGTGTCTTCAAAAGCCAGGTCAATAAAGCCTTTATGCAGCGTATACAAGGCTTTAGGACTCACCATCACAGCCTACTCCAGAAGCAGGGCAGTGTGCTAGCGGGAGCTGGCCCTTTAGCTGCATACCGTGAAGATCCAATCTCATAATTAACTGAGGCAAAAGTTTAGGAAGATTTTACAGCTAACAATTCACAGCTTAAGCCGATCTCTGCCGGAGATGAAGGTGAAAGCCGAAGTCGGAGGCAGGTCACCTTGTGTCTGAGGGCTGCTCTCCCTCTGGAGTGTCAGGGCAGAGGGAAGCTGGGGACGTCGGGGCACAAGGCACGGGCCAGCGCTGCTGCTGGGCGGACAGCGAGCGATGTCAGTGGTGAGCGTGTGTGCTGCTGCCCTGCTCCCACCGCGTGCTGCCTGCCTGCTGTCTGCTGTCTCGCATCTATCAAAGTAATTATGTCCATTACGTTTCTTCTTTCAGGTTTTACCCTCCCAAATGTTATTCCACAGCATTAAACCTGTAGGGGAAGAGAATTATTGGGGAAAGTAACTAGATGTAATCCAGGTTTAATGGGCACACAGGAAAAGCACACTGGGTTGGGAGGGTAGCTCAGCCAGCATCCTGCTTCTGCAGGCAAACAGAAATTTATCTGGATGTGTGTATATATCTAGCTTTGTTATCTGTGAGCTCTTAATAATTGGTTTGGT